GCAACCGAGGTACGCGCCCTTAGCGGGAACCGAACCCGGGTCTCTCAGGACCGCAGGCCGACGCTCTAACCGCTGAGCCAAACCGGCCAGGGCCCAAAGGCCCTTTTAAGGCAGGGAGAATCATTTGTCCACACGGGGTCATTTAGAAGACACTAAAGTCCCCCTTGCAATGTTTTCTGAGTTCTTTTTATTTTATTTCATTTTTTTTTTTTAAATCCTCACCAGAGGATATTTTTCCATTTATCTTCAGATAGAGTGGAAGAGGGAGAGAAAGAGAGAAACACTGATGTGAGAGAGACACACTAATTGATTGCCTCCTGCAGGACCTTGACCAGTGCTGGGGATGGAACTGCAACCAAGGTCAGTGCCCTTGACCAGAGTTGAACCGGAGACGCTTTGGTCCATGGGCTGATGCTCTAACTGCTGAGCCAAAACAGCCAGGGCTGTTTTTTTGAGTTCTTGTAAATACTTTTAATAATGTCCCTACTGTTAGTTGTTGTTTCTCACTGCTGTTATTCTGACTATCTTCCCCCACCCCACCCCCACCCCATTAATCCTCACCCCAGGATATTTTTTTAGAGTGGAAGGGAGGGAGTGAAAGAGAGAAACATTGATGCAAGAGAGGCACATTGATTGGTTGCCTCCACACGAGCCTGACCAGGGTGAGGATCCAACCTGCAACCCAAGTATGTGCCCTTGACCGGGAATCGAACCCGAGACCCTTCAGTCCACTGGCCAGTGCTCTGACTGCTGAGCCAAACCAGCCAGGGCTATTCTGACTGTGTTAATATACTTTTTGCTACTTCAGATGTACTGCTTCTAATTTGTTGCAGGCAGAAAACCACAGTTTCAAAATTATTAAAACTATGTAAAGTAAGATAAAAAAATATGTTTTTTTAATTGATTTTTTTTTTTAGAGAGGAAGAGAGAGATAGAAACATCTGCTTCCTGCAGGCCCCCTGCTGGGGATTAAGCCTGCAACCTGGGCATGTGCCCTGACCAGGAATCGAACCAGTGACCTCTTGATGCATGGGACGATGCTCAACCAACTAACCAAGCCACATCGGCTGAGCTAAAGTAAAATTTTAAAAATGGGTAAAATAAATGTGTTCTAAGTAAGCATTCCTGTGAACAGAGTACATGAACCTTAGTCGATATTTGCTTTAGATGACCCTTCTGGGCTCACATGGCCTCTGTGCACACCTTGTCACACTGGCTGTCATCACTGATACACTAACCTGTCAGTCCCCAAAGTTGGGCACCATGACTTTCTCATCTTTGTTTCTGCAGTGCCTGCCACATAGTAGTAACTCAGTAAATGTTTGTCAAATGAATGAGTGGACTTGTGGCATCTGTTTTGGCAGCTTGGACACCTTGCTCTGCTTTGTTTGCTGCATTCCTGGTTTGGGGCAACATTCCTCCTAGGCAGGCGAAGTCACTGGTGATCGAGTCCCGGAGAGATGAAGTAAACCTGTTTCTAGTCGGAGCTCCCCTTAGTCTAGTGGGAAGGCACAGTCCCTCCACTTGGGATAAGCTGCCTGGGTTGCTCCTGGGTTTGATGCTGACATCCTTCACTCTGTAGAAGAGCTCAACACTATACTTGACCTGTCTGCCCGCGAACCGAGACAGGAAGGGTGTTGTTTCTTAGCTGCCTCCCTCAGCTCCCTGGTACTCAGTGTGCTCTCTATTCATTTCCTTTTGTAGAGAAGGAGGCTTTGTAGGTGTTTTAGTTTCTGTGTCTGGGGTATGTCTGGGTCTCAACAGGTTCAGAGCTCCTCAAAGAGAAAGAGACCTGTTTCTCCCATGAGTTTGGGAGTTCCCTGAGAGGTAGGTTTGTATTGTTTCCCAGTTGAGTTGGGGCTCCCTGAGGGTAGTGTCTGCTTTCTCCACTACTCCGTAGGGCAGGAAGAAGCTGGTGGTGGAAGGGCTGAGGGAGGGACTTCTTTCTTCCCACCTTTCTTCCCGCTGGCTCCAGGATGCTGCATGGGTGGACCTGCCTCAGGCCTCCTGGGCTCTTGCCTCAGGGCTGAACCAGGCATGTGGCTAGGCTCTCTTGGCCCCTGACAACTTTGTTTCTGGCTCCAGCGCATCCTGGTGGAAAAGGTTGGTCTTGATGAGTGCAACCCACTCTTCCTCTGCATGTACCAGGCAGATGGGCCATAAGCAGGCAGCAAAAATTAGGCTGTCCAGCTGCCTTGCCAGGGCCTGGGAGGCAACTCGGAACATGAGTCGTGTGGTCCCTTGCAGAGATAAGGATGGGGGTGAAACCAGTTATGCTACCCCTTCCTGCCTGCTCAGTGGACAAGTACAACCCACAGGTCAGGATGCTGAAGGAGGGCTTAGGGTTTCCGTGACTGTTGTTCCAGGTGGGGGTGTCTGAGTCTGTGGAGGCTTCACTCTGTCCAGTCTCCTGTGATGGGCTGAGTTGAACCTACAGCTTCTGAAGCTCCCCTCTCACCAAGTTCTGACTCAGGGACCCCAACTGGTTGGAGTGAAGGAGTCTCTCCCTGGGGATGGGACCCAGTGGAGCATCTGCCCAACCACCTCCCCAAGCCTCTACTTGTTCTCCCTCTTCTTTTCCTCCTGTCCTTGCACCAGAGGGGACCCAGGGGGATAACTGGTGGAAGGGTCATTATCCAGCGCTCCAGGACCCCCCCATCAGGGCTCCAGGCAAAGCCCCTCCCCCCCCCGGCCCGATCCTGTTCCATCCTGAGCTCACCTCTGTGTTTTGGAGATAAGTGTCAGGGTAGGAGAACTAATTCTGCAGAACTTAAAGGCCTGGTCTCTGCTGCTCAGGATGACAGGGAGTCAAATGAGGCTCCAGGAACGGGCACCAGGGGTAGAGACATGGGGCCCCACCTGTTTCCTCACTTCCACCTCCACAGATCTACAGTCTGTTTCCCAGAACCCTGCGAGACGTGGCCCAGCCTGATTCCAGTAGGGGTGGGTGAGTGGGGCAGGCTCTGAGAGTGGCAGGGGAGGGACTGGTGGAGGGTTTGATAGGGATGGGCCAGGATTCCAAGGCCTAGGCCAGGGTGCGGCTAGGTGGACGGTCAAAGCTGCAGCCTGAACCTTCCCACACCCTGTTTCCTTCCCCCATCTCTGAGCATCCTGGAAGTGGGGAGGCCCATGTCTCCTGAAAAAAGAGGATGGGTGGGGTGTCCCAGGTTTTTCTGACATGAATCAAATTGAGGCTTTCTGGATGATATGAGAGCTCAACCTTGGATTGGTGGGAGGAGCCTCAGGGATGGAGAGAGGGCTGGAAAGGAGACAGAGACGTCAGGATGGGTCACAGGGACCAGGGGAGGTGATGGATTTCTCTTTGCTGTTCCTTGAGTGGCCACCCAGTCTGCCCCGGGCTCTGCCCCAAGCTGGGCAGAACCCTGGTTCAGTGGTTCTTATCTTCAGTTTCTACTGGGTCTCTTTCAAGCTTTCCCAACGCTGCTGTTTCCCACTTGGAGGCCATGTGAGCGGATCACTCTGCATGGGGCAAGAGACAGGGTGTGTTGACCTCTTTGGGTCCCTTGAGATGCCTGTTTGATGATAGGGATATCTCATATAGCCCCCTGCTTCAGCCAACTTTGTCTCAACCTTCTTATTCCCCGCCAGGAATTCTTTCATGAACTTGGAGCACATCTAGTTTCTCCTACCCCCTGCTCAGACTCCCGCTGAGAGAAAAGAAGATTGCAAGAGAGTAATAGCTTCCTCTCCCTTTGCTTCCTATGCTGCCTCCAGCAGGCTGGAGATGCCAGCTGATTACTGATGCCCAGACATTGCCCTCCTCCCTTTCTCCCTCTAAGCCCCCTCCATTCCCCGTCCTTCCAGTCTGGCATCATTAATTCATAGCCCTGGCATTTCTAGCAGATGGACTCTAGTGTCAGGAGCGGAGTGTCTAGTGCCAGGTAGGAGGGGAGAGAGGAGTTGGCATCCAGCCCAGCAAGAGCATCCACTGCCAGAGGGGTGGTAGAGGTGGTGGTGAAGGTCTCAACACCCTCCCCCTCATCACTGCTAGGCCACATGTGTTCAAGAAAATGAACAATAAGAAAGAGATCAAGGGGATTAATAAAAGTGTTTTTATTGAGTTGTCCTGGGGTGATATTCTAGGGTGGGAAACTTTCTACTCCTCCCCACTCCTGCCCCCAGATCTCCAGTGAGTGACCCATTCCCAGCTCAGGCATAGAGGAAACCACTTTACCCCCAAGGAAAAGAGTTCAGGAAACCCTTCAGCATACAAAGGAGAGAGCAGAAAGATGGGGAGTCTCAGGAAGAGAAAGTATGAGGCCCTGAGCCACAGGTTCCCTAAAGGAGGACTTGGGGAGAGGAGCCTGAGGCCAAGAGAGAGGCAGAAGTGAGGGGGAAGCTTCTCAGTAGAGGCAGGAGAGAGGAGCCCACAGGGTCCTTCTCAATATGCCTGCACCTCAACTTTCTGACCTCACCACCAGCTTGGTTCCACCATCCCCTCGCCCCTCCTTGCACTCTCTATTTCAGCCCCAACATAGGCCTTGCTGCTGCCCAGACATTCGAAGTTGTTTTAAATCTTCTTTGCCTTTGTCCACTACCTTTCAGCTAGGGTCCCTCGTCTTCTGCCCAAAGCCCTTCTCATTCTTGAAGAGTCAGTTCAAACATCCATACAGTGAAGCCTTTGAGGTCAGCTCACCAGGCAGAGGCTCCCTCCTCCATGCGCCCACAGCTCTCTATCAGCTCCTACCTCCGAGTTGGCACACATGCCACCTCCATCTGTTCTGTCTCCCCCCACCACTATGGACTCAGGACCTTTGAGTCTTGCACAACCTGGGTCCAAAGTAGGCACCCGAAACTCCAGGCACCAATAATGGTGTTGGTTGAGAGACAGCCATCAGGAATGAAGGGGAGACAGAAGAGGAAGGGGGTGGCATTTGGGGGATGGGATGGGGCTGCAGGGGAGGCAGCGGGGTCAGAGGAAAGGAGAGAGCACAGGGGAAAGAGCGTGGGGTGTGGAGCCAGAGGAGTGGACCTGGTCATCAGACCATGGTGCTGAGGGTAGAGGAGTCCTCTGAGCTCACAGGCAGCGTGGGGGCCTTCTTGAGGGGACGTCGGGTCTCATCCCGATTCTGCCACACATAGTGGACCAGATAAGCCACCACCAGGGCCAGCCAGCCCCCCATGGTGACCAGCAGGGCCACGTCTGTGCTCCGCCGGGCCCCGCCCCGCCCCGTCCCACACAGCTCTTCCTCCCCTGCCAGCGGCAGGAACTCTTGCCCCACGAGGTCTGGTCGGGCTCCAGGGCCACACACGATGCCTGTCCCAGTGCCCGGTGCCAGCCTCACCTGTCTGAGAACCTCCTGGAGGGCACAGTCGCAGCGCCACGGGTTGGCAGACAGGTTCACTTGGATCTGCAGACCCACGAAGGCCTCCACAGGCACTGACGCCAGCTGGTTGGCAGAGAGGTCGAGGTGCCGCAGTGTGCCTGCCAGGCCCTGGAAAGCAGCCCCTGAGAGGTGGGCAAGGGCATTATGGGACAGATCCAGCTCTTCCAGAACAGGCAGGTGCTGGAAGGCACCAGCTGGCACCGATGCCAGCCGGTTGGCATCCAGGTAGAGCTTGCGGGTATCGTTGGGGATGCCAGTGGGCACGGCACTCAGGCCTGCCTGGCTGCAGCGGAATGTCCGCTCACCAGCTTCCTCTGCCATGTAGCAGCCCTGGGGGGGTGCCTGGGGGCTGGGCATGGTATCCCCTGTGCCCAGCACCAGCAAAAGGGACAGGAGGCGACTGGCTGGTGGGAGCATGGCCACAGACTGGCATAGTCCTGGAATGGAGTAGGATCTGGGGAAGAGAAATTCCCATAAAGGCAGAGTGAGTTAAGAGAATTCCGTTCCCAATTGCCAGCTCTCTCTTCCTGAGGTCTCCCTGTGGAGTCTCTTTGAACTGGGGACCCTCCTTTGGGGCATCTCTCAGGCCTGAATGTCTTTTTTGCTTCCTCTTTGGGTTTCGGGCTCCTCTTTAAGGCCCTTTTGGTAACAGATCCCCTGGACCTGAGAATCTTCTAGGGTCTTTTTGATTCCGGGGGACTAATCTGTGAAGTCTCTTGGGCCAAGGCCCTGTTGTCGTTCTGGATCTGGGGGCTTCTAAGTGTCTGCTTCTGCCCATGTATTGATTTTCCTCACTGGAATAAAGTCTTTTCCCACTAACTTACCTGGGTGGCTGCCAGGTGGGCCAGGTAGGCACCAGAGGGCCAGTTGGCACTAGTGTGAAGGACACAAAGAGGACAGATCAATAATAAGACTTCAGGCCGTCCAGCTAGGCTAGGTGACTAAGGCCCACCTCTGTGCCCATCCACCCCTTCTTCTGGAGCATCCACCCTCTGCCTGCCCCAGCTTTGTCTTCCTCGCCCTGCCCCTTCCTGCCCTGTCCCCTCCTTCCTCTCAGCCTCTCACCTCTGTCTGTGGGGGAGCCTTCTCCTGGGCTGCCCTCTCCCTGGAAGTAGCCTGCCTACTGCTCTGCTCTGGAGACCCGCTTCCTTCTCCAAAAGCGCTGCTTGCTCATAACTGCTGGAAGTTGGGGGCTGGGACCCAAGAGTATTGGGTTTCCTGGCATGTGACTCTGGGCCCCAGGTATCAGATACCTGAGCCATGGCCTGGCCAGATGATGCCAAGAAAGGGCAGATCCTGGACCCTGATGAACTCTGCCTGGGGTGACGAGGCATCAGTTTCATTCCCTGCCTCAGGTTCCCCTCCCAAGGCCTGATGTTGTCATCTTCCTTTCCTCCTCTCTCAGCTGGGGAGGAGACTCTTCCTTCCAGAACTTCTCCCTTGCCCAGAGCCTGGTCAAGCAGAAGGATCCTTGCTTGGCAGGCCTGCAGGGCAGAGTGGGTGGGCTCGATCTTACATCCATTGCCTCCAGCTCCCCCCAACTCCTCACCATCACCACCACTCTCTTCTGCCCTCCTACTGTGCCCTGTAGCAACTTCTTTCCTGGTGAGCAAACTTGTTTCAGCTTTTTCCTTGGAAAACTTGTCTTTCTCTGAGGACTTCACCTCCTGGCTCCTCACAGGGTGCCCAGCCCTTTTGCCTGGCAGGGAGCACCGTGGTTCAATTTCAGTTTGTTCTCTGCACTGTTGGTAGATGGCCCCTCTAGGATTTGGAAGAGGTTCTTCAAGGTGTCTAATGTCTGATGTGGTTGCCTACAAGTTTTCCTGCTGATTTTATGTTCTGGATTGGAGCTGACTCAGGTTCCCTGAGTTTGCTGGGGCCCTAGGTTCCAAAGTTGGTACTTTCCACTCTCTTTCCTGCCTGAAAGCCAAGGAGGGTTGGGACAATATTCCCCAGGACCGCTTGATCCCACCCATCATTTGCAGCCCAAGCCACCACATGGTACCCCCTCTCCTGATGTTCACTGGGTAGTGGGAGGGCGGGCTGTCACAGAGACTCGCACAGAGGAGGCTGAGGTCATATGCTGTGGAGACCTCTTTGAGAAGGAAAACCTTGCTGGATATTATGAGAGACTGTGGGCAACCAGGATTGGACACCAATGTAGGATCCAGTGCAAAATGAATCACGTGGGGCTCCTTGTCCAAAGACTGTCCTGATGTCAGGATAGTAACCAGATGGCAAAACCGAGTACAGGGCCCTTCTGAGCACAAGGTGTGGCACCCTGGGCAACTGTGCAGGTCACATGCACATGTAGCTGGCCCTGGGTAGGTGACCTTTGAACAAGCAGTTTCAGAAGCGTAACGGGCCAGAATCAGATGGTAGGATACCAGATGATGTCATCTCTGGGGATGTACTGACCACCGACTCATTCTTGTGACATCAACAGGGCATTGCTCACACTCAACATTTTCCCCAGGAATCAGGTAAGATGCGTTTTCTACACTTGGGCAAGAGGAGTGAAACATTTGTCTGTGGGTTGCTCGTTAGTTAGACCAGGCACTGTGCCACCGAATAAACACTTCGGTGCCCATTTTGGGACGGTAGCTGCACGGGGAATAGAAAGCATGTGGAACGCTCCCTCCCACCGCTCGTCTCTCTCACTGGGCAGGGTGGTTAGCTAAGGCACAAGAGTAGAGCCTGGCTGTTGATGGAGAGATGTGCCTTCTTTTCAGACTAAGGCAGCTGCCAGGAAAGGAGACTGGGGTGCCCAGCGCAGTAGCTGTAGGAGAAGCAGCGGTTTGTGCACATAGTAGAGGCTATCCGGAGCATGGATGTGGTTAATTGAGGGCAGCTAAGTTCAGTGCTCAGTAGAAAATGGACACCTGAGAGGAAGGAGGAACCACACTTAGGATGGTGCACAGTACAGGTTGAGGGTCGATAAGGTTGGAACAGAAATTGTTCCCTGCTGTTCATTCATTCATTCATTCATTCATTGAGGATTTCCTGCAAGCCCATGTTTCAAGCACTGTGCTTGTAGAGGGTAGACAGATGCTATTCCTAGGCTCCTAGATCTAGCTCTGGTTAACGTAGCCTGCTCATTAGAAACATTTGGGGGAGCTTTCAAAAATTAGTTATGCCTGGGCTTTACCTGGACCAATTAAATTAAAATTTCTGTGAATGGGGTCTAGGCACTGGCATTTTTCAAAAGCTCCCAGGTATCTCTAATGTGCAGCTAGAGTCGAGACCTGCCGGTCTAGGGGAGACATGGACATGTTGACATGTTTCCACAATGCCTTACTGTGACGTCTGCCGCAAGTGACGTGGGTACAGAGCTTTGATGCTCCGAGAGAACAAGTCACTGTGGCAGAATCTGCGGGCCATTTCATATTGTAAGGGAGGCCACATTTTACCCTCCTAGGGCTTTTCAGCTAGGCCTGAGAATGAAACTGACATAAGACAGATTAGCAGGTGAAAAAAGCATACACATTTATATAAGTTTTACATGACAGGAAAATGAAGACCCCGAAGAAGTGGAAAAACAAAAATACTTTTGTCCTAGGTTGAATAAAGAGAGGCAGTTGTGGGAAAGTAACTAAAATATTCGAGGAGGCTGGAGGAAGATTAGAATTATTTTCACAAGGTCTGTTTGTGCAGAGTTCTCTCAGCCTTGACTCCCCCCTGGAGAATGTGTCTTTTTCCCTGTACAGGAAGAGTATCTTTCATGTGGCAGTTTCTGTCTCCCGTTTTCTGGAAGAAAATAGGAGACTGGAATGCCCTTCTGGTGTCTGTTGTTTTTATATACCTTTAGCTCAAAATAATTCTTATGCCTAAGTGGCATATTTGGGGTGCCCTGTTCTGTCACCCTCCAGTATCCATTCTTTCTCTCTCTCTTTTTTTTTTATCCTCACCCAAGGACATTTTTCCATTTTTTGTTCAGATAAAGTGGGAAGGAGAGAGAGGAAGAGAGAGAGAGGAAGAGAGAGAGAGAGAAACATCGACGTGAAAGGGGCACATCGCGTGGCTGCCTCCCGCACGACCCAACCAGGGCCAGGGACAAACTGCAACCGAGGTACGTGCCCTTAGCAGGAACCAAACCCGGGTCTCTCTGAACTGCAGGCCGTGGCTGTAACCGCTGAGCCAAACTGGCCAGGGCTCAGTATCCATTATTTACTTCGTTTCTTGATGACATATACTGATTTGGGAGTAGCAATGTACTCAGTCCGTCAGGACAGAGCCTGGTTGGTGTTTTCAGCTTATTAGAAATCCTCTTGCCCACTTTTCCTAGTCACTGTTGCAGCTGGGGGTGGCCCAATTCTGATCGACAAGATCTAAGTGGAAATCTGCTCAAGAGGTTTCTGGGAAAGTCATTTATTCATTCACAAAAGAGGATGAGATGGACCCTCCCCTTCTCTCTACAGCTTTCTCCTTGCTTTGGTCACGGAGAATCAACTGTGGCCATCTGTGACCTTGGGGCAATAAAAGAGAAAGGAAAGGTCAAGAGCATCATGGAGACATTGGTCTGGATATCACTGAACCACTTAACCAACACGAGCAACCGCCTACCTCTGGACTCATTAAAAATAAACCCCTGCTTCAGTGCTTCTAAACTTGGCTGCACATTAGAATATAGGAGGATTTTCCCGGATGGTGTGGCTCACTAGTTGAGCATCGACCCATGCACCAAAAAGTTGCCTGTTCGATTCCCGGTCAGGGCACATGCCCAGGTTGTGGGCCAGATCTCCAGTAGGGGCATGCAGGAGGCGGCCAATCGATGTTCTCTCTCATCGATGTTTCTATCTCTTTCTCCCTTCCTCTCTCTCTAAAATCAATAAAGAAAAAGAAAAAAGAAGAATATGGGAGGTTTTAAAAATTACTGATGTCTGGGTGTACCACAGAGATTCTGATTAAATTAATTTGGCATGTTTCTGGGGATGGATTTTTAAAACCTCCTTAGGCGACTCTAGTAGCACTCTGGGGTCAGGATCATTCCTTTGCTTGTGTTTTCTGTTGCTTTCAGATGGGATCATTCTTATCTGATCAGACTAACTTTTCCAGGATAACAGGAAAGGCTTCACCAGGAGTGACATTTGAGCTGGGTGGTTAAGACTGAGTTCATGAGCTGGGACAGCAGAGTATGTGCACGAGCAAGGGAGCATGAGAAGGCCTGGCTTCTCCTAGAGTGTAGAGTGGAGGCGTGGGGTGGTAAAGGCTATGGTTAAACTGGAAAGGGACCAGATTCTTGTGGCCTTGTGTACCATGTAAGAATTGGGACATGGTTTAGTAGCTGATGGATGGAATGGTTTTAAAATCAACTTTGATATTTGGGTCACTTTGCTGGGTGCCACTGGGTACATCCTTCCCCAAATCCCTTGGGCCTTTGGTTCTCTGGACTTCACGGTCTCTGGGATCCCTTACAGCCTGATGTCCAATGTGTCTATGATGATGGGGCAGGGAAGAGGCTGAGGCATGGCAGGGCCTGGACCTCAAGTTCAGGGCCCCTCACTTCCCCACAGCTTCTCCCTTCAAGGGCAGTAACTCTATGCCCCAAAGGTGTGACCTTGGAGGAAAGAAATTTGGCAGGCCTCCAGGCCCCCGCCTGCCTGATGTTGGAAGCCCCCAGGTCCAGCTTAGATATAGGGGGATAGTTGAAAGGAAAGGTGGAGGGCTGGCTACATTTCCTACCATGTCAGCCAGGGATGCATCTAATAATGCCAGTGTCCTGGGCAGTTTAGGCATGAGGGCCTCTGCTATTCTTGTTCCTTGTGGAAAATGGCAAACTGTGTACACATTCTTCCATCCTTGGATGTACTCTCTTAATTGTTCAGTGCACACCTCCTGTGCCTCTTAGTCATTGGGGGTGCAGAGAGAAGTAAAACCTTCCCTAGACAATGGAGGAAGATGGACGTGTGCACAAATACGGCCACCTGATAGCCTAGGGGAGGGCTCTAGCTGAGGTGTCAGCAGGGGTCAGAGGAGCCCAAAGTATGAAACTGTGGACTCTACCTGGACAGTTGGGGAAGGCTTCACAGAGAAGGTGACAGGTGAGCTAGGCTTTGAGGGATGAATAGGAGTCTACCAGATGGAAAAGGATCAGAGGAAAAGCATTACAGGCTGAGACATGAACAAGAAAGAGAAAGGTGTGTTCTGAGAGTGGAGCTCAGTGTGGCTCAGGTCTGGGATGTGTGGGCGAGTTACCTCCTTCAGCTAACATTTACTGAGAATCCAGCATGTGCAGGAAATGCAACAGTGAATAAGACACAGAGCAAGCACCCTATCAGGGGAAGTGGATGCATAATAGAAAACTTAAATAGATTACCCTCAGGGCAGGAAAGGAGTCTTTACAAGGCACCTATGGGATGACTTTTGGGGAGGAATGCCACTTCCTAGCTGTGTGACCTTGGGCAAAATACTTAAACTCTCTGTACTTCAGTTTTCTCATTTGTAAAGTGGGGATAATAAAAATACCTACTTCAGCCTGGCTCGTGTGACTCAGTGGATTGAGCGTTGTCCCATGGACTGAGAGGTCCTGGTTCGATTCCCGGTCAGGACACCTGTCTGTGTTTCAGGCTTGATCCCCAGTAGGAGGTGTGCAGGAGGCAGTCAATTGATGTATCTCTCTTGATGTTCCTATCTCTTGCTCTAAAAAGTAAAAAAATAATTAAAAAATAATTAAAAATACCTACTTCACGGGGCCGTTTTAAAAATCAGTAGAATTTATACATGTAAAGCCTTTTGCCCAGTACCTGAAACACAGCAAATGCTAAATTACATTAGCTGTGATTGTTCGGAAGGAGTTGGGGTCGGGCAGGGAAGCAGGTGATTCTAGAATTTCTAGAAGGACAGGCTTTACTAGGGGTAGTAATGCAACTGGAAGGGCACCAGGGGATTTTTTTCTGAAAGCTTTTGTTTTCATGTGCATTGCCCCTTTGATCGGTAATATTAAGTTGTCTAAACTGCCCCCCCCCCATTTTCTTTATCCATATCAAAGAAAATGCAGATTCAAGGGTTCCGAAAGAACAGCCCTGCTGCTCTTGGTTCCCAGAGGGAGGTTCTGGTTCCCAGGCCTTGGCTCTGGCCCTGGAGGCCCTGGCAGGCTCAGCCCTTTTCCTCTGCAGCCCAAAATAGCCAACCACAGGGCTGGGCGCAGGGAAGAGACAGAGTGCCCACCGGCAATGCTGCCGTCCCTGCACCTCCCCCGTTTCCCACCAGCTCAGTAGCTCTCAGTGCTGGTCTGCTTAGCATCACGGCCCCCTTCTTCACCTCTGCCACCACGTGCCTGGGATGCCCTCACCCAAATAAAAACACACTGCCAACAAAATAGTTTTTTTCTTCCTTGCATTTGCTCTGGGAGTGACCTCAACACCTCCCCTCAGGAAGGAGCAGGGGGCAGAGGGAGAGCAGGAATGAACTGAAGGGGAGGAGCGGGTAGTGAGAGTAGAGGGCTTCCATTCCTTCCCATCAAGTGGTTGCCACCCGCACGACCCAACCAGGGCCGGGGACAAACTGCAACCGAGGTACATGCCCTTAGTGGGAACCGAACCCAGGTCTCTCTGGACCGCAGGCTGATGCTCTAACCGCTGAGCCAAACCAGCCAGGGCAGGGCTCTGTTTCTTACACTCCACCTCCTCACTTCCCACCACTGCCATCACCCTGGAATGTGTTCCCAGTTTATCTCCCGCCCATGTTTGCTATCTCTGCCCACACGAGTGTATCTATGGCGAGCAGAGGCCATGCCACCCCGCCAGATGGAAACACCCCAAGGCTGGGGAATGCAGCTATCTCAGCGGACTAAGGCACTTGCAGAGGGCAAGGAGAGCCCGTGAAAGCGGCTCACTGTGTTTTCAAAACACAAATACATATCATAAAAAATTGAAAGCTGGTAATCTCACATTACACAAAGTTTGAAACTGGAGAATGAACCCTGGCCAGTTTGGCTCAGCGGTTAGAGCGTCGGCCTGCGGTCCGGAGAGACCCAGATTTGGTTCCCGCTAGAGGCGTGTACCTGGGTTGCAGTTTGTCCCCGGCCCTGGTTGGTCATGCGGGTGGCAGCCACTCGATGTGTCCCTTTCACGTCAATGTGTCTCTCTCTCTCTCTTCCTCTCTCTCCCTCCCACTCTGTCTGAACAAAAAATGGAAAAATGTCCTCGGGTGAGGATAAAAAAAAAAAAGAAACTGGAGAATGAAAAAGATCACCCCAAATCCTTCCATCCTAACACAAGATCTGTTATTATTTTGCTGAATTTTCACAGGCCAGTAAAGTAAATGCTCAGATATATATATTTTTTTAATTTTTAATTTTTTTTTTATCCTCACCCGAGGACATTTTTCCATTTTTTGTTCAGGTAGAGTGGGAGGGAGAGAGAGAAACAGAGAGAGAGAGAGAAACATTGACGTGAAAGGAGCACATCGAGTGGCTGCCACCCGCATGACCAACCAGGGCCGGGGACAAACTGCAACCGAGGTACACGCCTCTAGCGGGAACCGAATCTGGGTCTCTCCGGACCGCAGGCCGACGCTCTAACCGCTGAGCCAAACCGGTCAGGGCAATGCTCAGATATTTAAATGTGGATAATCAAAGGCAACACTTACTATGTGCCAGGAATTGTTCTAAGTGCTTCACATGTGCTGACCCATTTCCTCTTCACAACGACATGAGGTGGGCAGCATCATGATCGTCACCAACTCCACGTGGAAATAGGTAACTGAAGCACAGAGACACTCAGTGACTTGCCTAAGGGGCACAGCTGGTAACTATAGGAGCAGGAAGCTGAACCCTGGTGGTCTGATGCCAGGATCTCACCAAACACTCTATTTTTTAAAATCATAATTGTTAGTGCATGTACAGGCTTACAAAAACTTATTATGGACAATTTCAAACATAAAAAAGTAGAGAAAATGATATAAGCAATCTCATGTCTCCATCACCGTTTTATTTATTTATTTAAAAAAAATTCTTTTTCTTTATTGATTTTAGAGAGAAAGAAAAGAGAGGTAGGGAGAGATGGAAACATCGATGGGAGAGAACATCGATGGGCCACCTCCTGCATGTCCCCCCCTGGGGATTGGGCCCACAACCTGGGCATGTGCCCTGACCGGGAATCGAACCAGTGACCTTTTGGTGCATGGTTCGACGTTCAACCACTGAGCCACAATGACCGGGCAACCCACCACCCTGTTTTAATCATCATCTCATGGCCAATCTTGTATTCTTCCACATCCCTAGCCCAGATTATTTTGAAGCAAATCCAGTCATCATATCATTTCATCCACATATGTTTTAGTATATTTCTCCAGAAGATAAGGAGGATTTTTTATTTAAAAAATTACCACAATATGGCCCTGGCCGATTTGGCTCAGCGGTTGGAGCATTGGCCTGGGGACCAGAGAGTCCTGGGTTTGGTTCCTCTAGCGGCACGTACCAAAAAAAAAAAAAAAAAATTACCACAATACTGTATCATGCCCATAGACACAGACAATAGTGTGGTGAAGGTCTAGGTGGGGTGGGAGCTAGGTGGAGGGGGACAAATTGGGGGGAATATGACATCTGTAATACTGTCAACAATAAATAAATTATAATTCCTTAATATCAATTTGACTAGTCAGTGTTAAAATTTCCCTGATAACTTAATAAAATATTTTTTAAAATGTTGGTTTGCTTACATCAGAATCCAAATATAATGCTTAATGTATTTTAATCTGTAAGTCTCTCCCTCTCCTTTTTTCCTTCCAACTTATTTGTAAAGAGAATTGGGTGTTTTTCCAAGCCTTCCTTTTTCTAGATTTTGCTGACTTCAACCCTGGGGAATGCTCGTGCTATTTTTTCCCCTGATCTTTTCATATAACCTAGCATTTTCCCACACTGCCACATCATTTTCACAACCATTACTATATGGCTTCATACTAATCCATCCAATGGATATACCATACTATTTTTCTTAAGCTGCTTTTGGTTTTCCACTATTTTTTAAAAAATATGTTTTTATTGATTTTTCTAGAGAAAGCGGAAGAGAGAGAGAGAGAAACATCGATGTTAGAGAGAAACATTGATCGGCTGCCTCCTGCATGCCCCCTACTGGGGATCTAGCCCGAAACCCGGGCATCTGCCCAGACCTGGAATCAAACTGGGACCTCTCAGTCCATGAGATGATGCTCAGTCCACTGAGCCACAATGGCCAGGCATGGTTTTCCACTATTACAAATAATGCCGGATGGGGTAGCTCCGTGGTTAGAATGTCAGATATGCCAAAGATGTGGGTTCAACCTCCAGTCAGGGCATATACAAGAATCAATCAATGAATGCATGGAATAAGTGGAACAACAAATTGATGTTTCTCTCTCTTTCTCTTTCTCTCTCTCTCCTCCCCCCACCTTCTCTTTCTCTCAAAATCAATAAATAAAATACACAATGTTGGAATGAATATCCTCACATATAGTAAGTATATGGGAGGACCACAGAAACACAATCATGGCTCTGAGGCCTGAACAATTTTTCAGCCTCTTGGCACATATAACCAATTGTTTGTCCAAAGGGTTGTGCATTCCCTAGCACCACATAAGAGTGCCGTCACTCATTCTGAACAGTACTTAGGCCTATTCATGGCTCAAGGATGTTTGGTGAAAACATGGTAATTATGAGGGCCAAGAGCTAGAGAAGGAAAAGGATGATGACAGGAACTCAGGCTACAATAAGCAGAAAGTGATCTACAATTCACCACAAACATGGAGTGAATCAGAACTCTGTTCATTTCCACTGTGAAAAAACAACAGCTTGATAACAGGAGTTATTAATAGGGCATGGCACGTCTAGTCTTCCCGTTAGACTATGCATTAGTCAGACCTTATTTGAGATGTGGATCCAGCCTGGTTCAGTGAACTTCACAGAGACCTGAGGAAGCTGGGAAAGATCCAGACAGCCCCATCAACTTGATGGAGGTTGGAAGAATCCCAGAGAAAAATCACAGGACTCAAGTAAGCTCACTTTGGAAAAAATAAAGACTTTTTCCCCCCCTCAATGATGTGAGGATTCTGTGGGAAAGACAACATTCAGTTGTTTGCTTATGTCTTCAGAAGACTGACTATAAGGAAAGGGACCTCCACGAACCAGGAGAAACTTCTGTAGGACACAAGGAAGAACTTTCTCAGCTTCTGGGGTGGTTATTTAGTCGGGATGAGTGCTCTTGGGCCACTGGCCCTGGAAATATTTGAGAAGCTGCCTGTTCCCCTCCTCTGAGTGGTTATCCACCTGCTCAGTGCCCACTAGGTACCTCCTGGGCCCCCACACCAGGTTTGTGACATCTGTTTCCTGGCAGCCCTCTGGGGAGGGTGGGTGAGGTTTGAAAGGAGTACTCCCCAGACTCCCTGGGCCAGCCTTCTCCTTTCTGTCCACTCATATTCACTTCAGTGTGTGTTCACAGCCGGTCAGGTTGGCATGTCATGACATCATCTGAGCCTGCTATTCCAGCCCGGCCATGCAGAGTGGACTTAGAAAGAAGCTGGGTGGGGCTAGTGGAAACTACTCAAACAAGGCCCTCTTGGTGACTCCAGGAGACCTCAAGAGCCATTTAGTTCAACCTCCTACAGAAATAGCTTCTTACAAATCAACAGGTGCTTCACATACATTTGAATTTGCACAACTTGGGAGGTAGAATTTCACAAGTGTAGAATTAGAGATTGATACAAGTTATTTGCTAGTAAAGGAGTACCTGCTAAGTCTACATGGCAGTAAAATCTGTGCCCTTGCCTTCAGAGCATACAGACGTGAAAACCAGACCAGAGAGGTGGAGCTTCCCACCCAAAGCCACCACATGGCGACATGGTACTGGTATTCAGGGTCCTAACTATTCTTCAAGGAATCTTCCCAAGACCGGAGCCCTCTTCTGAAGTTTAATGTGGGAGGCCAAGGATGTGGCCTGGCCCAGGCCAGCCTGAGTCAGGAGTAACTGAGTAGACAGGCTCTGGACAAATGCTGCCCACAGGCCACGTTCGCCATGTTCTCTGCCTTCCAAGCTGTCATTCTAACCAGCCTTGAGAAAAGCCCGCTTCCAGGAGGGCCTGGCAGGACAAAGGGCTGGGCTAGTCAGATGCTGGGGCTAGCGAGGTGAAAAACTCTGACCCGAGGTCAAATTCTGGGTTCTGATCCAGGTGGGGATGCCGGGATCTATGGCAAGTTACTTTATTATTTTTTATTTTTTTCTTTATCGATTTTAGAGAGAGAGGAAGGGAGAGGGGAAGAGACATAGAAACATAGCTGAGAGAGAACATCAATTGGCCACCTTCCGCATGCTCCCCGCTGCGGATCTGGCCCATAATCCGGGCATGTGTCCTGATGAGAAATCGAACCGGTGACCTCTTGGTGCATGAGCCTACTCTCAACCACTGAGCCACACCAGGTCGGCTGGCAAGTTACTTTAAATTCCAAGTTTCCTCATGTGTAAAAAGCGCTTGAAGCGCTCGGACGCAAGAGCAGTGGTTACGCACCAAAGCAATACCGCCTGATCTTAGTATCACGTCCTAGTGAAACGCCCGAGGCGCCCACCGAGGCTTGGCCTAGAGTGGGCCGAGGAGCCCGTGGGGAACTACAAGTCCCAGGAGGCGTCGGATAGACCGGTACACGGGCGGGGGGAGGAGACTACAACTCCCAGGAGGCATCGGGCTGGCCGGCGCTGGGCGGTGACGTTGCGGGGGCCGGCGCGGTGCGCTGATTCGGCCGAAGCTGCCAGCGGGGTGGCTACCGCCGCGGGTGTTACAGCTGCTTTAGCAGCAGCGGCCCCCGCCCCCGGGCACCTCTCGCGGGCCCTCGAGGGCCCTAGACCTCCGGCCCCGCGCAGTGAGTTCGAATGGACGGCCTCGGGGTGGTTGAACCGGGAGGCTTCTGGGGCTAGAGGTGGGGCGGGAAAGGAGGTGGCAGCTGCAGGGTAGGCGCCCCGGGCTGGAGGGGAGCGGGGCTGGGTGAGCGGAGGTGGGGACGTGCAGCCGCCCAAGGGATGCCCAGAGGCGAAAGTGGGGGCAGAGGCCGGGGATGGAGCATGGGGAAGAGCGCTCGAGCTCCGGCTTGGGGTGAGGGGCCGCGGGTGCCTGGGCTTCGGGAATCAAGGTTTGACCACTTCCAGGGCTGGGAGGTGGGGGTGAGGCTTCGGACCCGGCCAGGCTCCGAGTGCGAGGTCCCAGACTGGGGAGCGGAGCGGGAGCCCCCCCCTTCCCCCCCCCCCCCCGCTTCGGCTTGAGGTCCCGCTCAGAAAACCCAAACAATAGTGAGGATTCCGCCTCTTCGCTTCATCTTCTCCCCGGGCTAGTGGGGGTTCACCCCAGTACTCGCCTTCTTTCCATTTCCACCGCCCTCGAGTCCGGGAAGCAGGGCCTGAGCTAAGAGGTGAGCTACTGTGGCCCTGCGGGCTGAGGGGTGGGCAGAATGAAATGGCATTGTGGCGTGCTGCCAGGGACTCCCCGTTGAGGTCCAGTTGTAGGCTTGATGTTTTGTGCGCCTCATCCAGAAGGGAAAAGGTTTGTTGCTTAAAAGGCTGCCTTCCTTGGGGGAGAGAATGGGAATCGCTCACCTGGCAGCTGCCCTGGGACGCACTGTGGCCTTGGCTTAGGTGTTTGACAGACACCGTGGGTAGGGGTATTTGTGTGTGGAGTCAGGGGAAAGGGAGAGAAATAGGAAAGAGTTACCAGCAAGAAAGTAGTTAACAGAACAGAGTTGCTGCAGGCTCTGGTTTGAGGCACATTATGAAACCACATCAGGGACTGGCACAGGCAGCCACCTGCCAGCTATGGCCTGGGAACTTTTCAGCTGCTGTAGACTTGCTTTACCTCTGTCAGTTACTTCTCCCTGCTTCTCTCCTCCTGGGCTAGGGGCAGGTGGTTATTTACTAACTGAAGTAAAATGTACCCTTAGTCACACAAAAGGCTCAAGAGTGCTTCCTGGCTGCCAATCCTTTTCTTAGTTTATTGATCTGGTCTGTATTTGGGGAGGGGTGGGGGTGGGGAGTGTGGGTGTCCCCTGGGATTTCTGCTCTCAGGGCAGTTAGTGTTCAGGCTCAGGAAGGAGCTTCCCAGGTGTCAGTTAGATCCTAAGTGTAGGGCCCTCCCAGACTTATCAGGCTTCATTGGATGCCCTGTTTCAGTCAGAAAGGAGTGTGAAATGATCTGGGATTCAGCAAGACTCTTGGCACTCCTGAACAAAATACCAGGGAGGGCTAGAGGTCTCTGCTTCTACACCCTGTAGGTCTAGGTTAGGGAGAAGTAGGGAGGGTCAGCAGCTTCTGGAAGACTTGGGGAACTGTTTCTCTCTCCTTAGTCAGTAGTAAGTTCTTCAGACCCCTCAGTTCCTAGCCAGCCCCATTCCCTCCCCCACCCCCCAAGGTGGAGGTCTTTTTTTTTTTAATCCTCACCTGAGGATATTTTTCTATGTATCCCCAGATAGAGTGGGAGGGAGGGAGGGAAGGAGAGAGAGAGAGAGAGAAAGAGAGAGAAACATCGAAATGAGAGGGACACATCAAGTGGTTACCTCCCGCATGACCCCGACCAGGGCTGGGAGGAACTGAAACTGAGGTACGTGCCCTTCACTGGAATCGAACTTGAGACTCATTGGTCTGCAGGCCAGTGCTCTAACTGCTGAGCCAAACTGGCCAGGGCAGGTGGAGGCTTTGCATGGTAGGTTTCCAGGAACTGTTAGGGTAACTGAAGCCCTGAGCCCCTGGGAAGGTAAACAACCAAGCCAGTCCCAGTTTTCTTGTTCTCTGGGTTTCTGTTGGGCCCAATTATCCAGCCTAATGGGCTGAGCTGATGGGCCCCAGGAGCATCGCTTCTTCTAGGATGTATCCTGGGTCATCTCACGTATGTTTGCATATTGGAGAAGTGTGTTGTGTGTCACATTTCCCCCGAGGTCTCTAAGCTTTGAGCTGTCTGAGAAGAGGAACTTGTTCTCCTTATCCTGGAACTAAGGAACTGATCCTTGAGAATTCTGGCGCCTACACAGGCTTGGCTGTGATCCTAGTCAGAGAGAGATAGCAACTGAGTCTGAGGGGGTTCATTGCAGCAGGCTGAGGGAGGTGGCTTTCTGGGAACTTCTGGGATATACCCCCATCTGGGACCCCTTTCTGGGTCCCCAGGAAAGAAGAGGCTGTTTCCATGGTGATGACCTTAGCGTTTTTATCAGGTAGGACCTTCCCTCAGCTCAGGATGTGAGCCAGTACAAAGGCACCATCTGTTCCCACCTCCTGCTGGTCACAAAACCCTCAAGGATCTGGAGACAGCGGAGCTCTGGACAAGGGACTGCTCATTCCCTTCCTTACCTGCATCCAGGAATGCAACCGAGTTGCATTATTTCCTGGGTACCAAAGGCAGGCCTCCTGGTTCCTCATGCTGCATGTTTCTGCCATCAGAGCTGGGCAAGGGAGGGCATGGTGCTACTAATACCTGGAAACAGGTGCAAGGAAAGGAGGCTGAAGTGAGGATGAGTGGGGCAGAGAGAAAAGGGGGTAGGAGAGAGGCTGCAGGTATGGTTTTGTGACTTTGGGAGGGGTATGTTGATGTGGGTTCCAGCTGCTGTGGGAGCTGTAGACATTGGCCGTATTCTCTGTCCTTGCCTCTCTGGTAGGGAAAGGGGCCCTGGTGGTTTGGCAGCAGAGTAGGTGGCATCACGAGGGTTAGCCTGAGTTGCTGCCAAATGGATAAAACATCTGGTTGGGATGATTTGTGTCACCAAGAAGGAGGCTTCCAGGTCTGGGCAAAGGTTGTCCCTAGTCTTGTTTTTTCTTCCCTCTCTCCCTCCCTCCCTCTATCCTGTCAGTCCTTGTGGGTCTGGATTGGTAGACCCAATAATGGAGAATTAGGGAACATGGGTAGAAGCTACGACCACCTCCCTCCAAATATTTCATCCAGTGGTCTATTTGCAGGCCCCACCTCCTTTTATTCCTTCTGATGGGGAAGGTGGGGAAGGGGTAAATGTTCCATATCAGCCCTTAGTGAGACAGTCCAGCAGGGGTTATGCTGAGTAATTCTTAGGGTACAGGCTTTGTGGGAAGAGCACCCTCATGGGAATGCTCTGGAGGAAGAGACTGCAGGAGGGGCAGTGGTTTCTTTGCTCTGGGGCTGGATACTTCTTGATGATCTATCTACCCAGGCTGTCTGCCTGGAAGGGGACTGTCCCAATTGGATAGCATATGGTGTTTATCCCAACCTAGTATTGGGAAATGAATAGAGTTAAGTCTACATGGACTTTGTCTGGCCTCCTCGTTTGCGAATCAAAACAGTAGAACTGTCTGAAATTCTTGGGGAGAACAGGATTTGGAGGGTGTGAGGGGGCAGAGAAAGTGGTGTGACCTGTCTCACCTGTGCTGCTTGTTTGCAGAACAGCGGCAGGAGGGGGCAGCAGGATGAATGTGGGCACGGCACACAGCGAGGTGAACCCTAACACACGGGTGATGAACAGCCGTGGCATCTGGCTCTCCTATGTGCTGGCCATCGGGCTTCTCCACGTCGTGCTGCTCAGCATCCCCTTCGTGAGCGTCCCTGTCGTCTGGACCCTCACCAATCTCATCCACAACATGGTGAGGGCCTGCCTGTTGTCCATCCCGACCATGTGGGCTGCTCTTTGGTGGGACTGAGGAGTAGAAGGAGCCCCTAGACATGGACCAGAAGTCAGGACCAGAAACCCTAAGGTCATCACCATGGTAACAATGTCTGTCACCAGAGTCCAGACCAACCAAGCTCTCGTGTCTGTCCCACTCGTTCTTCTGGGTTCCAGCCCTGTGCACTCCAATAAGAGGACTGGAATCTGCAGATTTGTCCACATCTTCAGGGTGGGATAGCTTGTGGACCTGGAAGATGGGCCATTGAGAGCTAAACTAAGGGTCCCAAAGAGTCCCCAGGACTCAGGTGTCTAGCCTGGTGCAGAAATGCCCCTTTCCCAAATTAGGATCTCACACCATTGTTTTTCTCTGCTCCCTCACCACCTGCTTGTTACCTTGTGCTCTTTTGGTTGACAGGCAGGGGCCTAGTTCCTTCCCCAGCGTGTCCCCAGCCCAGCTGGCACAGGGAGGCTACCATGGGACTAGAGGGTGGTTCTGTGCTACCTCCTTCCATGTGTCTCCTCATGTCAGGCCTGCCCTCTCACCCTTATTCTTCTGCCAGGCTCCCAGCTGCTTCATCCTGACCTCCAGCCCACATGGCCCTACCTACCAGAGGGAGGCTCCAGGTCACCCGGAGCCCACTTCTGTGACTAGGGCGCAGGAGCTGAGCTGGAGGGCCTTTTGCTTTCTCTGTCCTCTAATGAAAGCCTCTCCCTCCAGGGCATGTACATCTTCCTACATACGGTGAAGGGGACACCCTTCGAGACCCCGGACCAGGGCAAGGCAAGGTTGCTAACCCACTGGGAACAGATGGACTACGGGGTCCAATTCACAGCGTCTCGGAAGTTCCTGACCATCACACCCATTGTGCTGTGAGTGCCCTGGGTAGAGGAGAATGCTAGTAGGTAGGCCAAGGACTGCAGGGCCCTGGGGCCCCACCCGGCCTAAACCCCTCTCCAGTTTGGCTCTTAGCATAGGAATGAGCAAGGAAAGGAAGTTGGAGCATCTCTGGTCCCATGCTGGGCTCAGGCCTTGTGCCTTCTTGGCCCTGTCTTTCTTCAGCTGAGGCTACCTTTCTGTCAGGGAGGTAGGCCTATAGGCCTGGGGTAAAGCAAGGGGACTGGATTGGGACTGGTCTCCTTGGGAGATCTTGCCATTCTACTTCTGTCCCGGGGGCCTTTTCCATAACTTCTCAGCTGTCAGGAATTTGTCTCTCTCCACCCAGGGAGCGAGGGAGGAAGGGGTTCTCCAAACAGAGTGTTACACCTCTCCTTAACCTTTTCTACCAGGTACTTTCTCACCAGCTTCTATACCAAGTATGACCAGATCCATTTCATCCTCAACACTGTGTCTTTGATGAGTGTGCTCATCCCCAAGCTGCCCCAGCTCCACGGAGTCCGGATTTTTGGAATCAATAAGTACTGAGGGTGCAGCCCCTTTCCCTGCCCAGGTGGCAGGAGGGGTAGAAGCCTGGCTGTTGCTGAAGACAGAAGAAGCCTCTGGGTACTGCCAGAGATGGGGGTTGAGCCTCTGGGCCCTATTTCCCTCCTCACTTCCCCCAGTAGCCGACTTGAAGTAGCTTGTAGTGGGGTTGGGGTAGGACCTCCCCCACTCCCCGACCCCCGGGCTCTGACCTTTCTGATTTTTTGGATCTTTTTCTTTTTCCTTTTGGACAGAGACTCCACAGGGGTGGTCATGGAATGGGCTGGGCTCCCAGGCTGAACACAGACCTGTGAGGTTGGGACAAGAGGCCAGGGACAACCCTGCTCACTTGCTCGTTCTCAGACCGCTAAAGCACTTTACCCCCTGTGAGGGGACGGTACAGCTTCTAGATTGTTTCACTGTAGTTCTGAAGTTTTTAGGATGACCCTCAGTGTGTGCTTGTATGTATGAAAGCCAATGCATGGTGGTGTCTCATCCCTCCGGGCGGAGAACCTCTAATCAAAGTCTCATGCTTTCGGCAGCTCCCCTACAACCCACCCACCCTAGTAGTAGGTGGGGGTGGGGAGGGTAAGGAGAGAGATGGTGGGGTGGATGGCCTGGTCCCAGGGGTGATGGGGTCAGGGCTGCTGCCGTCCTGTCCTGGTGGAGGCGGGGAGGGGTAGAAGGAGTGGTGGGGGTGGTGAGTTGAGACTCAGAAAAAGGGGGTCATATAGCAGCAGAGGGAGAGAAGGTGGGGACAGAAGCTAGACCCAACCTTAGTCCTTTGGGAAGTGGTCAAGGAACAGGGCAGGCTTAGAGAGTTGGTTTACTCATGGCGTGGGGGTGGTAATAGGAAGGGAGACTGCTGTGGGTCGAAGTTCCTGAGTCGGTGTGAGAGGGTGGAGACAGGTGTGAGAGGCCTGTACGTCATTATAAGCACAGGTCCAGTTTGACACTGCCTTCTGCGGTACTGGGAGGGCGTGGGGAAACTGGGACCGAAATGATGACTGGTGGAGCCCTGCACCTCACAGCCTCAAGGGGGGCACTGGGGCAGGGCCCCTTGTGTGGCATGCACATGTGGGCTGTTGCGGCCACCCCCAAACTGCTGGTGCAGGAGCAAGGAGTGACCTGCAGACGCTGTCCCCTCGCCCTGAGGGGAAGAGGAGTGGGGCAGGAGCCCCTCTCCCTCCCCCATCTGACTAGGGTCTGTGTTACTTTTGAGAAGGTGTAGGTGCCTGTGTCCCCTCCCAGGGCTCTGAGGGACGAGGGGAGGTCATTGGCTCTGTTTTCTGTCTCTTGGTCCCCCGACTCCCACCCCATGTATCATAGGAAACTTTCACCTCAAAATCTTTCTAAGCAAAGTGTGAATAGGATTTTTACTCCCTTTGTACAGTATTCTGAGAAACGCAAATAAAGGACAGTGTGTTCCTGTTTCCCCCTGAGTCTGGCCTCTGTTTCCCGGAGGGCCCAGGGGCAGGGGGCAGGGGGCAGGGGTGTGGCAGCAGCTCCTGCTGAGGGCAGTGTGGGAGCAGTTGGACCGACTGCCTGGATCGCGGCCGGGACCCTGGGACTGCTGCTCTTCCTACTGTGCGGCAGAGCAAGGGGCTGTGAGGGCGCGGAGCTGCCACAGGCGGAGAGCTGAATTCAGTTCTGTGACTGTGCCTGGCTGTTCGAACTGCGGGACAGAACGTCCACCTCTAGGTTCCACAGGCTGGGCTGGCAGAGAGTTTATGCCATGGCCAGGGAGGAGGTCAGTCCAGCAATGGCTTCATAAATGAAGCTGGAGTCCCAAGGGATGCCCCGTCCTTCCCTCTGAATGCCTTTCCCTGTTCTGACTTCTCTTCCCCCAGTCCTCCCTCCCTGGGAGGGCTGCGACTCCTGGCCTTTGTGCCTTAGAGGAACCTTCATGCTGCTTTCTCCCCTCTATAAGCATGAGTGGGAGGGGAAAAGGTAACCAGGACTTATTTCGGCTCACATGGCCAGAGAAGGAGCCGTTCTGTGAAGGAACTCTCATCTCCCTGAACTCTATCTCCCAGGCTCCCAGCGTTTCAGTGTATTCTGAGCAGCATTCATCTACTATTCCCAGGATGGTACAAAGTCCCCGGCAGAAGGGAGGAGCTGCCCCCGGCAGCCGGGGCCCCTCTCTGGCCCTGGTCCAGCATCGCAGTGTCTTTGGCATGGGTGTCAGGAAGAGTACAGGATCTTTGCCCAAGTCCACCTACTACTTCCGCCCCTGCGGCTCCTGAATGAGGCCCACACAGCACTGGGAGGAGAAATGCAGCTGCTGGGCTCAGTCCTAGAGGTGGGGGTGTCTTGGGAGCTTCCGTGGACCCACAAGAGTGCAGTCAGGTGAGGGCCTGGGACACATCAATGATAATTTGGTTCAAATCCCAGCTCTGCCACTTACTGGCTCAGTTACTTCTCTGAGCTTCAGTTTCTTCCTCGGTTGCATAAAGATAATACCGCTTAGGCCTACTGTGAGGATTAGCACAATGCCTGGCATGTAGTAAACACTTAATATGTGGTAGTCATATTAGTATTAATACTGTTACTACCATCATCATCTCCTGAAATGTTCTTTTGGAACTAAGGCAGGCAGGGCCAGAAGACAGGAGGGGCTATGCTGGTGATAATCTCTGAGCAAGGGGTGGAGTCAGGTCCCTCCCTGGAAAAGGAGGTGGGCGAAGAAGACAGGTGGCAGCATCTGCCCAAAGGGCCCCATGGGAGCATGTGGGGAGTGAGGGCGAGTTCCCCTTTTTGACCCAGCCTGTCCCTACAGGTGTTAGCTACTGTTGCTCTCAAGTCTTCAGTGTTGCCCACCCACAGCATGGCATTTGGTTAACTGGTTCCAGCTAAATCACTCTCATATCCCTAACACAGCCAAAATCATTGCCTTCTGGCACTTGGTTGGTACCCACTCATATTCTATTTGTCTAATCCAAACTCACTGAATTACATGGCCTAGTGTGCCTTGTGCCGCGCCATTCCTGGGTCCAAACTCACCTACTCACCTAGGATATATGTCAGATAGATACAGGCATAGATCTACCACCTGCTTCCTGGGTTCAAAAGGAGGAAAGGGTTTTACCTCTGGCCTTATCTGCCTCCAGCCCAGACACAATGTGGCTGATCTAAAGGTCTGAGAGGTGGGGCACCCAGCCCTACCCAGCTCTCCAGTTCCTCCGATTCCCTTGTTAGAGCTTCCTCAGACACAGTGGCCAGGAATTGTGCAGAAATCTTACAGAGAGGACTCTCACAACCTCCATTTCTGGTGAGCAGCTGAGGACACGGGGGAGGGGGTGGCAACTGAGCCGGCCTGGGGCCCTGGGCACTGCCTTTCCAGACGCGCAGAAGAATTCCTGGGTTGGGAGTGAGTTGAGAGTTGGGATGGGGGCAGGGATTTAAAGGAAGCATGGGTGAGCCGGTGCTGGCTAGTCGAAGGGACTGAAGGGGAAGGTGGTCAGAGGAAGGGTTGGGAAGCAAAGGAGCCCGAGGAAAGGGAAAGAAATCTCAAAAGAAAGGAGTTGCTGAGTGATTGATGGAAGGGGAGAGAGTAAGCAGGATTTGGCAGTAAGAGAGCCTGAAAGGTCTAATGTGGGGGCACACTGCTGCTGGGCAGAAATGGGGAGGGAGCAGCTGTGTCGGACTGGACTGGTGCTGAGCCTCTGGAGGGTCCCACAGGGCAGGGCATCGGGCACTACAGGGGCCAACTGTGGACCAGGAGAAGGTGAAGGGGAGAGTGGGTTGGGGGAGCTGCCCCAGGTGGCATTTTGGAATTTATTTTATTTTACCAAGTGTAAGGGGACCCTTCAGAAGGTAACCAGAAACTGAGGAGAGAGACCTGGAGGTGGGCTGGCCAGGGGGCCCAGTTCCAAGCCACTCTTGCACTCCATCCTTTCTCTTTTGTTCCCTCCCTTCCACTCTCTCAAAATGGTCGGTAGGGGGACCCATGCAACTGCCTCGCAGAATACAGCAAGGGAAGGAGGCCCAGGAGTCAGAACCAAAGGAAGAAGTAATCAGTTGGGGTTGGTAATGTGAGGCCTGGCAACCATGCCCCTCCTCCCTTCCTGGTTCTCTGTTTATCAACACTGGTGAGAGTCTGGCTAGGGAATGGTGGGCCTGCCTTCGCACCCCTCAAGGTCCCTCTGGGCACGGGGGCAACTCTGCTGTGGGAGATGCAGGAAACAGATCTCACTTCCATTGGGGGCAAACACTGCTCCATCCTTCCTCCAGAAGGGTTCCATGGGGGGCAGAGGAGAAGCTGGCATTTGTGGTGCTCACCTCTTCTCAGTCCATAGTGACCACCTCATCTTCTAGAAACAGGGAAGGCAAATATCCCAAGTCCTGGTTGTCTTAGAACCTTTGGATCTTCCTTGACGCCAAGCTGCCAAGGGTAGATTAAAAAACCTGAACCAATAATCTGCTAACTGAAATTGGCTTCCTTTTCCCGGTTGGCCCAGGCACAATGCCCAGCATATCTGAAACAATCACAAGAGTTGTGGTCCATGAGTTGGATGCTGAAGGCGATATGATTGAAGTCAGAAGCATCATTGATGCAGACAGGTTTCATTGCTTCTGTCTGGTGACGGGGAAGAGAAGTTTCTTGAGACGCCGATACTGCAGTACAGACCTCACCCTGGAGGACATACTGGAGAGAGAGGAGGGTAAAGGGCAGTTGGATAAGCTGGATTCTGGGCTCCAAGGTCAGTATGAGGTACATGAGAGGCCAGCCAGGAGACTTTGCCCCCTCCTACACTCCACCCTCAACTTCCCATTGCCAGCAACCAAGTCAGCCAGTCAACACAGACACTGGAATTTGTATGAACATGTCCACACACCTCAGTTTAAGAAATGCACTGAAGAGCTGCATGGGAGATGGGAATGGGGGCAAGTGGAAATTTATTTCCCTTTGTAAATCATTTGTTTTAAAATTAGCCGATGTTGCCCTAGCCAGTGTAGCTCCATGGTTAGAGTGTCGGCTCCTCCCACCAAAGGATCGAAGTCAAGGGTTGTGGGTTGCAGGTTTGATCCCCAGCCCCAGTCCGGGTGCATGTGGAGGCCACCAGTTAATGTGTCTCTCTTGCATCCATCTCTCTGTCTCCTACCCTCCCTCCCTCCCTTCCACTCTCTAAAAATCAATGGAAAAAATATCCTCGGGTGAGGATTAACCAAAATAAATAAACAAATAAAATAAAATTAGCTGTCTTCTCATGTATTTATAATGTTTATTATTTAAGTGGATACATAAATGGAGGTCATTTGCTTAGTGGTTAAGAAAAGACACAGGCTTTAGAGCTGGGGGTATCTGGTTTCTAAGCCTGGCTCTGCCACTTACCAGCTGGGTGACCTCTGAACAAGTTTGTTTCCTCATCTGTCAACTCAAGCAGACTATTGCAAGAATCAAAAGAAATAAATTATGTAAATTGTTTATCACAGTGCCTGCACAGGAGGAATGCTCAAAGTTCAGCCCAGTCATTCTGCGTGGCGGTTATTATTACTACTTCTTTGTGTTCCCCAGAGATCATGACTAAGTGACTGGTGAGCAGAACTCCCCAAGGACTTGAGGGGATTCATAGAGGAGTCTCTGTTCCATACCTTGCTTCCATGCTTAACTATTCTTGGGGTTTTGGGGATTTGAGAAGTCCCAGGGTAAGTGTTGTTGAAGCCTTACTTGGAGACTTGTACCAGTGTCTTACGCGTCATGGAGAGGAGTTTTACAGCTCAGACATCCCGGCTATCACCCATTTGGGTCTGATCATGAGATGGAAAAGAATTCTAACAGTACAGTTTTAGAGCATCTGCCAGGTGCTAGGCACTGCTGTTATGTGACCAAGAACATGTCCAGATTACTCAGAGGTGGTGGGTGTTTTCACATTGGAGTTTACTTAAGCAAGCAAGAGGCTTTAGGGAAATTTCAGATGAGCATTTTTCAAAGACTCTGGGTCAGTTCTCTGAAAAGTAAATTGCCAAGAGCCAATTTACTAAAAGCTAGTTCTCAGTCAGTTAGCTGAATGACCAGTTCCCTGAAAACAGAAAAACACTTTAAACCAGAACTAGGATGTTTTACCACAGTCATAAAAATTTGACTAAGTCAGTTTAACTTCCTTTAAGGGAAAGTCTATCTGTTCTCATAAAACATTCAGAGGCAGAGGTAAAACCAAACTTAAAAAACCACAACAACATAAAAATGAAGTGAATTGGTAATTTGAATTGATTTTTAACAAACAACTGGCCTGTTCCCTTTTCAAATGGGTTATATTTATTTATTTATTTTAAAATATGTTCTTATTGATTTTTTTTAGAGAGAGAGGAAGGGAGAGAGAGATAGAAACATAGATGTGAGAGAGAAACATCGCTTGGCTGCCTCCTGCACGCCCCTACCAGGGATAGAGCTCGCAACCCAGGCATGTGCCCTGACCAGGAATCGAACTGGGGACCTCTCAGTTCATGGAATAACGCTCAATCCACTGAGCCACACTGGCTGGGCATATTTATTTATTTATTATTATTTTTTTGTTAATCCTCACCCCAGGATATTTTTCCATTTAGACAGAGTGGAAGGGATGAGGGAGAGAGGGAGGGAAGGAAGTAGGGAGAGAGAGAGAGAGAAACATCAATGTGAAAGAAACAAGAGACACATAGATTTATTGCCCCCAGCAAGCCCCTCGGAGTCGGGGATTGAACCTGCAACCCAGGTATGTGCCCTTGACCAGAATCAAACCTGAGACCCTTCGGTTCTTGGGCCAATGCTCTAAATGCTGAGCCAAATCAGCCAGGGCAAGTGGGTTATTTATTTATTATTATTTTTTTTTATCCTCACCCGAGGACATTTTTCCATTTTTTGTTCAGATAGAGTGGGAGGGAGAGAGAGAGAGAGAGAAGCATTGACGTGAAAGGGAAACATCGAGTGGCCGCCACCCACACAACCCAACCAGGGCCGGGGACAAACTGCAACCGAGGTACGTGCCCTTAGCGGGAACGTGCCCTTAGCGGGAACCGAACCCGGGTCTCTCTGGACCGCAGGCTGACGCTCTAACTGCTGAGGCAAACCAGCCAGGGCTGTTTTTTTAACTTCATGGTGCTGATGGTGATGTTAAAGTGTGCATAGGATTTTTTGTTTGTTTTACTATCTGAAGTCCATACATCATTGAGACGATCTTAAACTACCTAATATCCCTACCAAGATACCATATTACCTTTGGTTGTCATACCTGGTCAGGCTCCTTTTGACTGTGACAATTTCTCAGACTTCCCTCGTTTTTGATGATCTTGACAAGTTTTAAGGAGTCCTGGCCAGGCATATTGTAGAATCCTCGCCACTGGAATTTGTCTGAAGTCTTTCTCCTAGTTGGACTCAGGTAATTCTGGGTTTTGGGAAGGCAGACCAGAGAGGCAAAGTGCTCTCATTGCATGATATCAAGGGTACATACTATCAACATGACTTTCACTGTTGATGTTTATCTTGGTCACCTGGCTGAGGTCATGTTTGTCAAGTTTCTCCCTGGAAAGTTAGTCTTTTATCCCCCTCCGCAAGCTGCATGCCTTGTGTGTAGAGGTTTGATTTCTCTTTTCTCTCTTATAAAGCACATGCGAACTTTTACATTGCTCAAGAAGCAGATGGGTCCTGAGGTATCTGCTGCACATACAGGATTGATTCCAGGCACTATTCCCACTTCTGTCATGTCTCACCAGTTCCAAAGTGTATTTTCCTCGGAAATTCGGAGCTCAGTGTGACCTTTACCCTTCTCTTTCCAGGTCGAAAGACTATGGATCTGGTAGACTCAACCACGATGTTTACAGTGGAATTGCCCAAAGAAATTACAGTTGAAAGGTCCTTTCATGGGTCCCACAAACATAAAATCTCGATTTTGGGGTCCAGGATATCCCAGCAATATCTGGATTCGCTCAAGAACAGGTGAGGCTGGTGGTAGGCAGCAGTGGAGAGAATGAGAAGGAGAAACCCATTCTGGGCACCAAGGACGTCTGAGGTGGGGGCAGCCTCAGTCCCTCCTCCCAGTACTCCTCCAACCCACTCCTTTACCAAGCGTGCCACCCTCTTCTCCACCTTCGGGAAGCTGTTTCCTTCTTCCAGGAAACCTTCCGATGCCCTCAATTCACTCACGTCTCCACTGCCCTCCAAGGTGACTGATTTCTCCGGCTTGAACCAAAATCTACTGGTTTCAAGAGGCTACTTTCCTCTGTTTTCTTATACTGAGTTGCCCAAATCTGTACTTTGTGCTTTTTTCTCCTGCTTTGTGGCAAGCCAGAGGTTTTCATGTCCCTCTCCTTCACTGGACTAGGAGAAACTCGTGACCAGGGCCTGCCTTCAGGCGCCTCGCTGGTTTGTCCCCGCGTGCCGCGGGCGCTCGGAGAGCTGAAGGGAAGCCCAGTGAAAGCAAAGCGCCTTGTGGGACATTTCCTGCGCGGAAGTGCCACCGTCCCACCCCACCTGGGTAGCACCAGTCAAGTGCCACAGAGGTTCTGATAGCTGCGGTGCTTCAAGGGACTTCAAGGACATCACCAGCCTTCCCCTCAGCGATTGTTTTGTTGCTGGTGTTGGTGTTTTCTTCCACAGCTGGAGCAGCTCAGGAAGCGAGGCCCCGTGGTTCACCTGGGTTAGCCCTCCCTGAACGGGTGGATGCCTTTGTCTTTCCTTTTTAAAAAAAATCCTCACCCAAGGATGTTTTTCCATTGATTATTTTAGATAGAGTGGGAGGGAAAGAGGGAGAGAGAGAAACATCCATGTGAGAGAGACACATGGATTGGTTGCCTCCTGCATGACCCTGACCAGGGCCTGGGATCAACCCTGCAACCCAGGCACATGCCCTAGAGCGGGAATTCAACCCGAGAGTCTCCGGTTCACAGGCTGACGCTTTAACCACTGAGCGAAACAGTGCAGGGCTGTCTCTCCTTTTTAATTAAAAAGTGAAAGGCTTACAGAGAAACTTTACTGGTCCTTTGAACTCTCTCTCCCCACCATAGTATTGTTGGGGAGGAGTCTTTGGAATTTTTCTAAGGGAGCTCAGTTCTTTCTCGAAGGCCTGTTGCTTCTGGGGTGAGGCTACGTGGTGTGTGCGGGCAGAGTTGTGGGGCAAGGTACTGGACGGTCAGCAGAGGCAAGGATGAAGGTCTTCTCTGAGGGTCTTTGGTTGCGAATACCAGAAGCTCCAATCAAGTGCCACAGAGGCTGTTTTAGTCACAAAATGAATTTCCTGATGGATCAGAGATGCCTCCTGGAGCCCAAGGGTGGACAGTGCTGCCAGGCCCCAGGAACCAGTTTGAGGAGCTGGAGCCCCTTCTCACAGGAAGGGGCGTTGTGGGTTGGGCAGACGCCTATCTTTTTTTTTTTTTTAATATTTTTTCTTTATTGATTTTAGAGAGAGAGGAAGGGAGAGGGATAGAAAGATAGAAACATCAATGAGAGAGAACATCTGTTGGCCCCCTCCTGCATGCCCCACCCTGGGGATTGGGCCCACAACCTGGGCATGTGCCCTGACCGGGAATCGAACCCGCGACTTCTTGGTGCATGGGTCGACGCTCAATCACTGAGCCACGCCCTCTGGTCTCTCTCTCTCTCTCTCTCTCTCTCTCTCTTTTTGTTAATCCTTACTCAAGAATATTTTTTCCATTGATTTTTAGAGAGAGTAGAAAGGAAGGGGGGGGAGAGAGAGAGAGAGAGAGAGAGAGAAAGAGAGAGAGAGAGAGAGAGAGAGAGAGAGAGAGAGAAAGAGAAGAGGAGAAGAGAAGAGAGAAACATTGATGTGAGAGAGACACATCGATTGGTTGCCTCTTGCACACTCTCTGACCAGGGCCAGGGGTTGAACCTGCAACCGAGGTTGAACCTGCCCTTGATCGGGAATCGAACCTTCGACCCTCCAGGCTCAGGTTGACGCTCTAACCACTGAGGAACCCTGGCCAAGGCAGATGCCTGTCTTAGTGCCATGGGAAAGGCACGTGCTGTGGACACATACAGAGCAAGGTTTCAATCCCAGCTCTGTACTTATTAGCTGGGTGACCTTGGACCATTCATAACCTGTCTCTGAGCCTTACTTTCTTTGTGTGAAAACAGGCGCAGTTGTGCCTACACCATAGTGTTGTGGTGAGGGTGAAATGAAATGGCGTGTGAAGGTCTGGCATATTCTTCCATAAGTCCTCACTTGGCCCCCTCTTGCCCCCACGGTGGGGAAAGTGCGCTTAATCTCAAATAGGAACTGGCTGCTGGAGAGGGAAAATGTCACTGAGAGGTGGGGCCCCTGAGATCCTGAGCTCTCACCACCCCTCCTCCCTTCAGGAAGCTGAAGAGAAAACTACCCACTTCATTTTTATCGATGCGCACGAGGGGAGAAGACCTGTACCTGGTGATAGAAACTCTGCAGACAGCAAAGGAGGAAACCCTGACAAGTGAACGGCAGTATACATTTTGGAACCAGCTGAACTTTTGCAGTCTCAAATATGAACGAAAGGTTAGGGTTCTGGGGAACAGGGCCTCGGGGGGAGCCCGCCTGGGCCCACCTGCTGCAGCTGGAGGAACGCCAGCCCAGACTCCAGGCTCTTCAGCTCTCCTCGGGCCTCCCTGAGCAGAGTTGCCTGCTCCTTGGCCTCCTAAGCACTTCCCTCCTTGCCCAAGAAGGTGTGTGTGGCACTGCTAAGTTCCTCCCCTGGCACTCTTCTAGTAAAGCCCTGTGCTCGTCCGCTTCATAGGGCTTCCCGCGGTTCATTATGGCATGAGGTATTTTGCTTATTCATTGTCTGCCTCCCTTTCTAAGAAGTTGGAAGGCAGGAGCCACAGCGCCTGGAATAAAACAGGTCCTCAATAAACATTTGTTTATTGAATGTACAGTGGAAACAATGTGAGTTTTGAGGTCAGATGTGGGTTCACATTTCAGCTCTGCTACAGTTTTTAGCTGTGCAACTTGCTCACCTACTTACTCTGTCTGAGCCTCATTTCTCTCGTCTGTAAAATGGGCATAAAATCTCTACCTCCCAGGATTGTTTGGAGATCAGGCAATATAACTATATAAAGCACCTAGGAATCAAGTAATGTGAGCTCCTTTTCCCTAGCATCAAAGGGCAGTGACCATACCCTCAAAGCTGGTCCTGGGCTATCGAATGAAGCAGCTCGTTTTCCCCAACATGGAAAGGATGGGTAAGCAAGGCCTGGCGGGGGCAGGGCAGGTGGGCCTGACATACCAGTGGGGTGGGGGTTGATTCAGCCAGGCTCTGTGTCAGCTGGAGGGGCCCTGGTGAGTTGAAGGTGCTCACCAGGTAGGAAAAGGGAGGTTTCAGGACTGGGAAGAAGGACTGAGGGTCCTTGCTCAGACACCTCTGAACCAAGGACCTGCTCCATCGTGACACTAATCCTTCTTCTTTTTCTTTTTAAAAAATTTTTTATTGATTTTTTTTTTTTTTGAGAGAGATAAACCTCAATGTGAGAGAGAAACAACGATCCGTTGCCTCCTGCACACCTCCACCAAGGATCGATAGTGCAACCTGGGCATGTGCCCTGACTGGGAGTCGAACTGGGACCTCTCAGTCTGTGGGACATTGCTCAGTGCGCTGAGCCACACCAGCCAGGCACTAATCCTTCTTTAGAGGCTTTAATTTCCATCTCTCTCCCAGTATTTGTTTTTTCAGTGAGGAACAGGGCTTGAGGATTGGGAGAGACTAGAAAGAGGAATTTAGAGAAAACTGGTCTTTCTGATAACGGGTCTCTCTCTTTTTGTGTTGGTTTAGATATTTGTTTCTCCGGAAAAACAAAATCCTTTCCAGAAGGTGAGTAAGTTTCTGGGCCTCCTGTTCATCATTGCAGCATAGGCGAGGATACTATTTTTTAAAAGAGGATAACAAATAACAATTGGCCTAAAAATATAGAGCTATTAGGACTAAGAATGTACCCCTGGCCAGTTCCTTAATGGTTAGAGCATTGGCCTGCGGACTGCAGGGCTGCTGGTTTGATTCTGGGTCAAGGGCATTACCTGGCTTGCAGGTTCAATCCCCAGCCCTGGTCTGGGCATGTGCGGGAGGCAACCAATCGATGTGTCTCTCTCACATTGATGTTTCTCTCTCTCCCCCACTCAATTTAAAGGTAAATGGAAAAATATCCTCGAGTGAAGATTAAAAAAATAATAAAAATAAAATAACCATCCTTAAAAAAAATTAATGAGTTAGACTAGAAGATCCCTGTGATTCCGAATGTGGCTTCCTCTGGCATTTCCCTGGATCCCAGAAGAATTGTGCTGCCTAGTAGGCCTCAGGAAGCGGTAGTGAGGTCTAGATGTGTTTGAAAATTCAAAGACTTTCAGGAGCTGTAGAAATTACAGGTTCTGTCTTAGCAAGGACTTGCTAGCTCAAAAGAGTGAATTTCTGTCATTCTTAAGTGCTGTAACAGAGGAATCAGGAGATAGATTCCAGTCCCTGCTCTGACATATTTGCTAAGTACTGAGGGCAGGCTTACCCTCTCTGCACTTCTTTTAAAACCATCTAGGCATAACCCTATGGCTGCCGATCTCTGAGGAGGTGGGCCTGGGTCTGAAAATACAGTGCTTTGTCATTTACACACGATGACGAGTACACACGGTCCCTGGCATGGGCAGTGAGGGCTCAGAGTTCAGGAATGAAAACTTTCATTACTGGGAAGGGAATGTCCACAGGGGGCTGGAGGTGACCTAAAGACTCTCTGAGATTACTTCTCCTCTCTTTGCAGAGAAAGATGGTGGTTCATCTTGCTTAGGTAAGGATGGGAGCCAGCTACTCTCTGGGTGGCTGCACACGTCACCCTTGAGCCCTCTGGTCTCAAGAACTGCAGCTCAGGTTGGGTAGCTGAGTGTGTGTGTTGGGGGTGGGGGTGAGGGGAGGTTGAGAAGAGAAAGGTAGGGCAGGGCCCAAAGCAGATTTCAGCTTTGGTCCGGATCTGTCTCCTAAACATAGTGGTTCTCATTAGTCGTACATAGACATCACCTGGGGGAACTTTAAAACCAGTGATGCCTGGGTCCCACCTCCAGAAATTCTGATTTAATTGATCTGGGGGTACAGCCTGGGCATCAGGATTTTTAAAATCATTCCCTAGATGATTCTCATTTACAGTCAAAGGCTAAGAACCACTGCTCTAATTTCCTTTAAATCCTCACTACTCTTAGTGTGATCTAAAGCCTGCCCTTTGAATGGCAAGGACTCAATAAGTTTTGATTTCCTGGAGGCGAAGAAGAATGAGAATGTGGGGTAGGTACTAGACTGGGGGTGAGCTAGGGAGATGGAAGTGGGGTCACTGGGGAGCAATGATGGTGGATGTCTGGGAAGAAGGGTGCTTCATTTTAACAGGAAAGGATTAGAAGAGAGGAAGATACAGAAGTGGTCTCCAGAAGGAAAACAAAGAATAGGGTCTTGGTAATGGAGCTTGCTGGGCTGGGTAGGTTGGGTTCCTCATTGCTGCCTCTACAGGGAAGTCCTTGAGCTTCGGGGATTTCAGAAGCCTGAAGGAGAAGGTGCAGGACACAGTGAGAAGCCTCCAGGATCTGACTGAAGAAGAGCGAGATGATGTGCTAAGCTGCCTCACTAGGTGCCTCGCGGCAGACGAGGAGCTGCAGGATCTAGACGAAAGAGTAAGAGGCCCAAGAAAGAACTGGGGCAGAGAGAGGGAGAAACCAGAGTGGAGGGCAGTGGGCAGGCTGCAGACAGTCCGCTCTAGTGGGACCGGTGCTCATCTCCCCATCTCCCCATCTCCTGGCCCTAGGTGTCCACGGTCCTGATCTCCGGTGAGCTGCAGATGGAAGGCCCGGCAGGTCCTCTCCTAAGTAGCTTTTTTAATGCTGCTGGGCTCTTGGTTGAGGCACGCAGAGAAGCCATTCTGGAGTTCCTGGATGCCTTGAAGGGTGAGGAGGAGTCTAGATGGATACTGGCGTGGAGGGCATGCTGAGCAGAGGGGCCTGTGGGTAACCAAATCTTGGGAGGAAGGTGGTACACATTGCCTTTGCCTTTTGTGATGAATCAGCCACCACATTTCAGAAACTAGCCATCTTCCCCAGGCCAGGGGGAAGGGACTGCCTCCTCTTCCCCCGTGGCACAGTCTGTGACCTCCTGTGGGCCACAGCGGGAGCCCACCTGGAAATACTCCTCTCATTCCCAGGAGCTCTCTGGAACCTTCTCAGATGCTTTTCTTGGGTCTCTTCAGACACTGAAGCCCTGTCCCACTATGTGCCGCTCCTCTTGCCAACCACCATCTTTTTCACCCTCAGAGCTGTCTGAGGAGAAGGAGCTTATGGCTGAGACCCTAAAGAAGGGGACCCTGCCCCTGTTGAAGGACCAGGTAAGAAAGCCTGGGCGGAGGGCCAGGGTCTTAGTAGAAGGGAATGCCCATGCTCTCAAGAGACCTAGAAGCCCCAGGGTTCTGTCCCTTCTGACTTCATAGCTCCTTGTCAGCTCGTGTCCATCCAGCTGGTTTGTGGCAATTCCCTGGACATATAGTTTTCAGGACAATTAGGGATGGGCAAGAGAGGGGGGTGCAAAACTGTTTGCCCCAGGATGGCAGTTGGCACCATCTTAAGTGCCAAACTGGTTGGTTAGCAGTACCTGTCACCATGTTGAGAGAGTATCAGGAGCTCTCCAGGCCCTGCAGGGAAGAGCGCCCTGCAGGATGACTCTGCCATGGGCTCAGGGGTAAGGAGTGTGGCCAAGTATTAGCCACTGCTGGTTTATTTCTATGTTTGTAGCTTTACCGTCTACTGGGTTTCCTTCCAGGTAGAGTCTATCCTGGAGCAGAAGTGGAGCGAGCAGCCCGGTGATGAGGGCTGTGACCCCGAGGCTCAGACTCTCTGTGCACTCTATGTTGCTGTCTCCATCCTGCTGCAGCTGAGTGAGAAGCCTGTCTCTGTGTCTTCCTGTTAGCTCTTTAATCATTCTCCCCACAAACCTCTGGGTGCTCCCCTCCCCGGTCCATCCTCACCCACACCACATCCCTTCTTTTAAGAGAGAAAGGGAGAGAGAGATAAAACATCAGTGTGACAGATCCATCAACTGGCTGCCTCCTGTACGCCCCCTACTGGGGACTGAGCCTGCAACCTGGGCCTGTGCCCTGACCAAGAATTGAACTGGGACCTCTCAGTCCATTGTCCATTGGATGACGCTCAATCCACTGAGCCACACCATCTGAGCCAGAATCAGGTCTTTAAAACAAGCAGCTGGTTCTTTGATACATCCTATTCCCCACATGGTAATGTACAAAAGCCAGCCTGGTGTGTATGCTTAGACTTCTGATTAAAAGCGGAAGATTGCTCATGTTTATTTCCTCTCCTTCTTGAAACTTTACTAAATAGCAGTAAAGCAGGAGAAAAGACATAAACCCACAAGAATAAAGAGAATGAGGTGGTAGGTAAGGGATTTCAACACATCTTTGGACTCTAGAAAGTCATTAAGGAGTGCGAGCCGGGAGGTACGAGACTGAGGGGTGCAGCGGAGACTGCTGCTTTTTCATCAGGAGGCTTTCGGTGCTATTTAATATTTTTAAGACAATGCAGTTAGAGGTAAAAGACATATGCTTGTTATAAAGCATTTCAAATATTTTTCAAAGTCAAAGGAAAAGGTGATCCTCTTTTCCCTCTAATGTTGAACCACTATTAACATTTTGGGGTATGTTAACTATGTGACAGTCTTTAAAATGGTAATTTAAACATGAAGCTAGGATGATATGACAAATTTGTTTTGTATCTTTTGAATGAGAGTTATTTTTTTCCTTTAAGTTTATAAAAAAGTGATATGCAACAGGAATTCTCATAAATGCTGGTGGGAGTATATATTGGCCAACACTTTGGAAGACTGTTTGACAGTATCTACCAAAGCTAAACATATGCCTATGACCCAGCAACCCCACTTCCAAGACATATTCCAAAGAGAAATGAGTGCACACATTCACCAAAAGACATGCCTATACAAAAGTGTTAACATAAGAGCCTCAAGCTGAAAACTCCTCACATGTCCAGTAACATTAGGATGGACACGTTTTGTGGTATATTTACACAATAAAAGAGAACACATTAGTACTATACATAACAACATGGATGCCTCTCACAGACATAATGATGAGCAAATGAAAGAATATTGTGGTTTTTTATTTTTATTTTTTTGGTACGTGACCCTAGCGGGAACCGAACCCAGCACTCTCTGGTCTGCAGGCTGACGCTCCAACTGCTGAGCCAAACCGGCCAGGGCAATATTGATTGATATTAGAGAGAGGGGAAGGGACAGAGAGAGAAAAACATCGACTTATTTTTCCACTTATTTATGCATTCATTGGTTGCTTCTTGTATGTGCCCTGATCAGAGATCAATCCCGAAACCTTGGCATATTGGGACAATGCTCTAACCAACTGAGCTACCTGGCCAGGGCAAAACATTCATAAAAAGCCTCTACTTGCCCTGGCTGGTTTGGCTCAGTGATTAGAGCGTTGGCCTGCGGACCGAAGAGTCTCAGGCTTGATTCCCGGTCAAGGGCACATACTTAGATTGCAGGTTCCATCCCCAACCACCCCCGTCAGGGTCATGCGAGAGGCAACCAATCAATGTTTCTCTCTCTCTCTCTCTCAAAATCAATGGAAAAATGTCCCCAAGTAAGGATTAACAACAACAAAAAAGCATCTACTTGCTAACAAGATAAAGAAGCTCAAGCCAAAATATAAGTGAAAAGGAGACCCAGAGAAATAAGTATTAGAACACTAACACAATTTTACCTCAGGTTAAGGGGGTTGAAATGTGCAAATCCAAGCAAACTGGGGCTTCAGTTTGGCCAGTCTTGTGGATTGATGAGTCCAGAAGTCAAGGCCAAGAACCCACTCAAAATAAGGAGTCAAGTAAAAGGAGACCTTCCCCATATTAAACTGGAATCTCATTGAGATAAGGGTGAATCATCAGTAAACCCACAGCTCTTGCCTCACCTGCTGTGTATGGAAGACTTCGGGTATTGAGCGATAAAGAGGTTTATAAAACAGAAGGACAAAAGTTGTGAAATAATGTGGCCATAGACTAATCTTTTCACAGAACTTAACCTGGATTTGCATCATCTGGGTGTTTCAGAATATCTCAAATTGCAAACTTAGGAATGGTTGTGTACCCAGATACCTGTCAGAGCCAAACAGAAATATTTTTGGACAAGAGTGGTTCCCAGTAAAAAATAACAAAGCATACAAGGAAATGACACCATGAGCGAGATTAAGCAGAAACAACAAACAACTCAGACATAGATTCTCATGCATAAACGGATACTTGATATATGGGAGAAGTGTCATTACAGATTAGTGGGAAAAGGCTAGACTTTTCAATAAATGGCCCAGGATATCTGGATAACCACATGGATAAAAAATGAAATTTTATTTCTACCACATAGCATATATAAAATTCCAGGTAGATTTTAGATCTAGATGTGAAAGGCAAAATTATAACTATATTAACATTAAAGACTTTTGTTCATCAAAAGATATAAAGATGTGAAAATACAAACCACAGAATGCAAGAAAATATTTCAAAGATATGTAACTTACAAAGCAATAGTATCCAATATACAGAGCTTGTATGAATCAGTTAAAAAAAGGATGGTTCAGTAGAAAAATAGATAAAAGTCTTACACAGAATTTTTTGGGAAGAGAAAATCCTAATGGCTAACAAACATATAAAATGATAATTAACCTCATTAGTAATCAGGGAAATAAAATAAAAACCACTATGAGATACCAGCATTCACTCACCATATTGGCAAAAGGTTAAAAGTGACAATATCACTTTTCACAAAGATGGCACTAAAAGCCAAGAAGGAAGCCCTGCCCCTCCCAAAGCCAAAGCCAAAGCAAAGGCTTTGAAGGCAAAGAAAGCAGAGCTGAAAGGCATCCACAGCCACACACACACAAAAAGATCCACACTTCACCCACCTTCCAACAGCTGATGACACTATGGCTCAGAAGGCAGCCTAAATATCCTCAGAAGAGTGTCCACAGGAGAAACAAGCTTGACCACTCTGCCATCATCAAGTTCCCCTTGACTACCGAGTTGGCCATGAAGAAGGTAGAAGATAACAATACCCTTGTGTTTATTGTGGATGTCAAGGCCAACAAGCACCAGATCAAACAGGCTGTGAAGAATCACTATGACATTGACGTGGCCAAGGCCAACACCTGATCAGGCCTGATGGAGAGAAGGCGGCATACGCTCGACTGGCTCCTGACTGTGATACTTTGGATGTTGCCAACAAAGTTGGGATCTAAACAGTCCTTCTGGCTAATTCTAAATAAAACATTTTACACTGTAAAAAAAAAAAAAGTGACAATATCAAGTGTTGTTAAGTGCCTGAAACAATGAGAACTTTCATGCACTGCTGCTGAGAAGATAAAGTAGTACAACCACTTTGAATAACAGCTTGGCATTCCCAGTGGAAGATTTACCTATGCTCTGACCCAGAAATTTGACTGCTAGTATAAATTCTAGGGTAACTTGTGCACATGTGCATGACAGGGGATATACTTTTAAGAATTTTTGTTAGTATGATATTGTAATAGTCAAAAACTAGAAACAATTTGAATGTTCCCCAATGATAAAATGGATAAACAAACTGTGGTATAGTTATATAATGGAGTACTATACAGCAACAAATATAAATGAACTAATGCTGCCTGAGATTAATCTTTAGAAAGAAAGAATTGAGGAATAAAAATATATTCAAGCCCTGGCTGGTTTGGCTCAGCGGTTAGAGCATCAGCCCGCAGACCAATGAGTTGTGGGTTCGATTCTGGTCAAGGGCATGTACTTTGGTTGCGGTTTGTCCCCAGCCCTGGTTGGGTTGTGCGAGAAACAACCAGTCTATGTGGCTCTATCACTTCAATGTTTCTCTCTGTCTCTCTCTCCCTTCCTCCCACTCTATCTGATAATAGGTAGAAAAATATCCTCAGATGAGGATAAAAAAAATACACACACACACATATATATATTTTCAATATGATTCTCTCTATATGATGTTAAAAAGCAGAAACTACATTGTTTAGAGACACACTTCTGTGGAGGATGGGTTATATGATGAGGCACTGAGCATAGTAAATAAAAGTAATAATAAAAGCTTACTGACTGAATGTATAAATATGGAGAAAGCTGTGGATTCATCCATCACAGGGCATACAAGTTAATGAAAAGTCTCAAAATTGGGTGTTTTATGATTTATAAAATTCTTTCATATACATTATATTACATAAAGTTACATTTTAAGAGAGGTTGAAACTGGTATTAGTTTCCCCACAGCAAGAATGAGAAAATGGTTTTTGCCAAAGATACACTAGAAAATGATGGAGCCAGGACTAGAATCAGAAGGCGAGGGTCTTTCCATGTCGGTTGCAGATGTCTTCCTCACTTGTTTTCTATCATTCAGGGGATCCATGTCTTGGAAGATGCTTCAAAAACCATTGAATAGCCTGGCTGGTGTGGCTCAGTGAACTGAGTGTCGTCCCATGGACTGAGAGGTCCCGGTTTGATTCCCGGTCAGGGCCCATGCCTGGGCTGTGGGCTCAATCAATCCCCAGTGGGGGGCATGCAGGAGGGAGCTGATTGATATTTCTCTCTCACACTGATGTTTCTATCTCTCTCTCTCTCTCCCTTGCTCTCTCTCTAAACAAACAAACAAACAAAAAACATTGAATATTAGACTCAAACAGAGCTAGACCACAAAGAAAGAAGAGGGAGGCACATATACATTTCTACCCTCAATTTAATCTTTCCACTGGTTGATTTCCTTCTGTGTGAACCTCATTCCAGAAAACTTCCACAAAAATTAGGTAGGATGTGGGAGCCTAAATTATAGCTCTTCAGTCAAAACTGTGTGACCTACATCTGAAAAAAAAAAAAAAGGACTTCAAGTTC